CAAAGATATGTAACTTCTGGAGTGGTGGTTACTGCAGTTCAAGGCTAGTTGGTACAACTTTGAGTGTTGTTACGGCAAAGATATGTAACTTTGAGTGGTGGTTACTGCAGTTCAAGGCTAGTTGGTACAACTTTGAGTGTTGTTACGGCAAAGATATGTAACTTTTGGAGTTGTGGTTACTGCAGTTCAAGGCTAGTGGTACAACTTTGAGTGTTGTTACGGCAAAGATATGTAACTTCTGGAGTGGTGGGTTACTGCAGTCAAGGCTAGTTGGTACAACTTTGAGTGTTGTACGGCAAAGATATGTAACTTCTGGAGTGGTGGTTTACTGCCAGTTCCAAGGCTAGTTGGTACAACTTTGAGTGTTGTTACGGCAAAGATATGTAACTTCTGGAGTGGTTACCGCAGTTCAAGGCTAGTTGGTACAACTTTGAGTGTTGTTACGGCAAAGATATGTAACTTCTGGAGTGGTGGTTACTGCAGTTCAAGGCTAGTTGGTACAACTTTGAGTGTTGTTACGGCAAAGATATGTATCTTCTGGAGTGGTTACTGCAGTTCAAGGCTAGTTGCGAGAACTAAAGGGGAAAAACAAGAGAGAAAAAAATATATGACGGAATGCAGTATATTGCTTGCTCGGTGTTTGTCATGGTTGGTGCAGGCTCATCCATGAATTCGGCGCTCAAACCATGACCACGCAGGGATACAAGGAACACATATAGATAAGACGAGCGATACAGGAAGGACGGAGCGGCTGACTTCAGTATGCCCAGTTTGCTATACCCTTACATGTGCGAAAGGGAGTAGGAGGGATAAAAGAGAGAAATAGAGGAAGAATGAGGGCACGAGAAACACAAAGCGCATGTAACGTCGCAGCCACTTGTAGGCGATCTGTAATTCAGTTGCGGGCGATCTATAATCCACTTGCAGGCGATCTATCATTCAAAAAATGCACACAGCTCTTATGACATCCCTGGCTCTGACTCCAGGCAGGCGTCTTTTCTTTCTTTTTTTCAGTAAAAGATAGATCAACAAGCTGCTCAAGGCAAGCAGGACATTCTGGTGATGTTGGTTCACCTACATATAGCTATTTGTGGGGCCCAACTTTTATATAGGTTTCATACGCTTTGAGAGCAGGGTTCGCACATCGCTGCATGGGAATCGCAACAAGGGAAATGGATCGATGTGTTCGTTTTCGTTAGACGCAACCGTGACCGACATTGAAGCCAAGACAAAACATAAAAGGCTTTGCTTGGAGTTTTCTAATTGATTGATTGAGATTGATTGATAGGGGGGGGGGGGGGTTAACGCCCCAAAACCACCACATGGTTATAAGAGATGCCGTAATGGAGGGCTCCGGAAGTTTCGAAAACGTGGGGTTCCTTAACGTTCACCCAAGTCTGATCACACGGGGCTACAGCATTTTCGCCTCCATCGAAAATGTTTTTTTTTTGTCTGATTGAAGTGTAGTAATTATGAGTTAAAGGCAGAAGGAACTGTACTGAGCGAGAGCTTGTTGCCAGTGGGGACTGAATTTGCAAGCTCAGGCCAGCGGGACGATCAAAATTTGTCAGCGGGACGATCAAAGCTATACGCCGTATACGGCTCATAGCTTTGAGCATCCCGCTGGCCTCGTTGCTTGTCCAACGTGCGCAATTATGTAATGCGCTGCTAAGAATAGGTTTAAAAGGTTCTCAGTCGCTGCTCGAAGACATTTTCAAAACTGCACTACTTCAAGCAAGTGCTGCGGCCTCGTGCAGAAAAAAAACATTGCCAACAAGTATACGCCTCTACAGTACAGAATTCAGCAACAGTCACAAAATTGGTGCCCTAAGTGGACCGTTCTGGCGCGGCGCGCTTATTACTTGTGTTATTATTTCTCCGAAGTCACTCTTCTTGCTACTGATATTCCTCGGTGGCTCGTGCAGCGGCAAAGCTTTATAAGACGGCGCGCCTTAATTACTGGTAATAAGTTTCCTCATTATGAAAGTCCGAATAGTTTTTTTTGTTTTAAATGATTTTTTTCTTCCTTCGCAAAGCCCGGTACACCGACTAATAGTAGAGAGAGTTGAGCGGCAGCCATCACACCTCTCAATATTCATTATTACAATTAGCACTGACCTCTATAGCTAACGAACTGGGTGGATCGTTACCGTGCTTAGTAGAATTATGCGGCCAATTAGAGGAAGGCTTGAGTGGTGTCCCACTGTGTAGATTGATTTAGACCGTTCGGCCGATTTCTCCGTAATCAGGCGTTCAGATCTCCCTGACCCTGCGCGTTTAATTGTTATTTTCTTTCTCTCGTTTAGTTTTTTCTGTATTTTTTTTTCATTTTTGCCGTATACCTATACGAGTCCTCCTCTGCGCAGCTGTTTGCTGTCTCTGACAGCGCCGTGGCGATGCCTGCGGCATACGAAGTACGGCACCATCGGTTGGTTATTGAGGATAAATGGAGGGGTTGTATACGCACGTGCCGCAGGTGTGAACCGTAATTGCGGCAAATGGTATAGAAGGGGTAACGCGCTGCACGCCGGCTCTTAATAGTGAGCGCCGTATATCTCGATGATGTATATCTCGACGCAGTTTGTATTTGGGTTCGGAGCGAAGGTTACGTCGTCGACAAAGCCGGTCGATTGATGAATATCTGTCTATCTTCACGCACATCGCGCCTTCCCGCGTGGCGTGTAATTTTCGTTGGTCAGAAAAAAAATATATATATATATATATATATATATATATATATATATATATATATATATATATATATATATATATATATATATATATATATATATATAATTTCTGATGCCTGTTCGGCACGCTTTGTTGTATTGCTATTCATTATAATGATTCATTATAAACCACAACGTCGCGTACGTATTATTCGCACTGACTTGCACAACCTACTGAAACGCCCCGCCGCGGTGGTCTAGTGGCTAAGGTACTCGGCCTGCTGACCCGCAGGTCGCGGGATCGAATCCCGGCTGCGGCGGCTGCATTTCCGATGGAGGCGGAAATGCTGTAGGTCCGTGTGCTCAGGTTTGGGTGCACGTTAAGGAAACCCAGGCGGTCGAAATTTCCGGAGCCCTCCACTACGGCGTCTCTCATAATGGTGGCTTTGGGACGTTAAACCTCATATATCAATCAATCAGCCTACTGGAACGTATATATGCCTCCACATTACTTCCGTACGTTTCCGCAAGTTTACTGAAGTGTACATGAAAAATACATAAAAAAAGTGTGCAATCTATGCGAGTGTCCTAAGTAACAATTCTGAATTGTGAATCGGCATCGGGGACACTTACGTAGGGTGGTGTGATTGTGGCGCACTCACCACGTAAATGGGAAAGTGAAATTGGAACTAAAGTAGAGCTATTCACATGTGAAATTATAGTATATTTGGTATGCATGAATAAAAAAAACGCTGTTTCGTGATACCCTCCCATATCAACATATATCTTCCATATCAACATTGTTCGCTTTACACTGACGCACATAATGCCTAGCCTATAGCCATCTCTGAAGTCTCATGGGGCACCGACAGCGCAGGTACATACCGCGTGGTTGTGACAAACAAAAATTTTCAGCTGGAAATGACGTTGGGCCAGTTGTGTTGCATAGCGAAATATATTAACAGCGCTTATATATGACGGGGACAGATAAGGAACGACGCACGATGCGTTGATAACGACAGTTTTATTGCATCAAGGCAATGTGTGCAAAAACAAAACCATTGAGCGCACGTGCAGATCAGGTCATCAAGCCGACGTGAATAATAATAAAAACAAACGTACAGTGGAACTTTAAAAAAAGGTACCGAAATTTTCGCCAGCTGCGAATATCGTCAGCAAAATGATTAAAGGGACAGGCACGCGTGACCTTAAGGTGCACTATATATAAGAACCGTGATTCTTTTCTACCAAGTGATAACGATCCATGATATGCTGACGGACAAGTCGCCCTTGCTATGAATTTCGTGAGCTTCCAACACCAGTCGCGCGAAATATTTGCGTTAGCCAGTTTTCACCTTGCAAGAAGAACGGTCCGGGGTGCACCCGCGTTTTGCACAATGTATGGAACCCAATAGCTTGCCTGCTTGCGAATAGCAACAGTATCGAAGCTTGGGCCAGTTGGTTGTGCGTGGTATATACTGTGGTTTCAGCGCACGAAGATGCACAAAGGAACTCTGGACAAGCGCTCGTCTTCTGTTCCTTTATGTTTCTTCATGCGCTAAACCACAGTTATAGCGTGCCTGCTTGTGGTTCACACAATGTCAATGTTCGCGTCCTGAAGCACGTCTCCGCGATTGTTTTGACCAATCGAAGCGTTTTGGTCAGCGCGGATGGCGCGCAGTGTTTAAGGAAGTTATCCATAAGCACCTTTATTCGTTGCTTCTGGAAATGCGTGGGATTAATCCGAGTGCGCAGTTTACGTGATAATAATGTTTATTTATTTAACAATACTGTAGGCCTTCTTCAGACCCATATACAGGAAGCGCGCATACATCATCACAGGTAACCAAGTGGATACAAAGTTCGGGAAATACAATATTTTGAGGGACGATACGCACAACAGCGAAACACTTACAATAGCGGGTACAACAATACTTTATTGGTGCTCTTCCCATACACGAGGGGATGAGAAAAAAAATAACAATAAAAACCCACGTACTACGCATGAAAAACAATATATATATACAAAGATTACAATGCACTACTGCAAAACACGTTTTTTGTTATCGGAACAACAAGAACAGCATAAATGTAACTATACTGGCTCCGTTAACTGCTCCACAAAAGAACAAAATTAATAAATATTTGTAATATTAACAGCTTCACCTGGTAGCGCGTTCCAAGCGGTGACAGCGCGAGGGAAAAAAGAATATTTAAACACATTGCTGTGGGCACTGAAGGGACGTATACGTTTATCATGGTTCGTCCTACTAGAACGATCGCTGTTCAGTGCAGTGAACTAACCGCATGTTCTGTCTTGCGTTCCTGCAGCGGCCCCCCTCGCAGTCCCTGAACTCGTACGGCACAGCGGACGACGTGCGTTCACCTACGGGTTCGGCGGGCACTCCGGGACCCATGCCCCAGCAACCCAGTTCTCAGCAGAGCACCGACAACAACAGCGAAGCGGGTGAGTGCCGTGCCCTATAGCATGCATCGTGTAGTATACCGTGTCACCATTGGCCGAAGTTTCGAACTCTGAATCGTACTAATCTCAAGAGCTGACACCGTGGAAACGACAGAGACGAAGAAGAGGAACTAAAAGAACGCACGAAGTACTCTATAATCATGGCGTGTTTAACGAATCTGTGCTTGACGGAAATTCTCGTTACCGTTCGTGGTGTCTTTTTAAGCGTCGGGCGAACGCTATTGAGTGAAAGCCACATATTGTCAGCAATGAACGACCAAACAGTGTCAGAAACTGCTACAAAGGCTGTTTTAGATTTTATAAAAACCACTGGACTAGATACGAGACTGTAGGGCACTATGCTAAGTGGCTACTGTACATACGCACCACCTCTTCTTATCCCCACCATCATCGTTCGTCCCTCTTTCCTTCCACCTTCCCTTATCCCCTGTGTAGAGTAGCAGGCTAGAGCGAACTAGCTCAGGCCGAACTCTCTGCCTTCTAATGAATTCTCACTCATTCCGCTCACTTTACCGTTTGCTTTGACCGACAACCCGGCAACGTATGTCTAGACTACTAGACATACTTCGCTCGAAAATACGTGGCCTTGATAAACCTGTCCATCGGACAACTGGTGTGCCTCCTTGTTGAATGGCAGTACAAAGGGCTGGCGTCGCTGCCTCGGCATAGAATTTTTGGGTTTGAGTGGCCACGCATATGTATGCTTACAACAGCCCAGAGCGGAACAGTCTTCGTAGCCCGAACAAAAATGTTGCACGCTGTACCGATTACCTGCAGTTCTTTCTTTGAAATCATCCTCCTCTCTGATAAACAGACATCTCCTAACGAATTTTGGCTTCGAAAACTGATGACGAACGATGAGCCTTTGAAATCTGCCGGTGCTTTCAAGGCTAGAGACTGACGTCGTTGCCTCAGCACTGCATTTTTGAGGATAGTCATGCTTACTTACAAGAGACCATAGGGACATACAGCGGTTACCGAAGAAACCCTTGTTGGAAAGGTACATACACGGGGGTTACCAACCATCTGGTACATGCTTATCAAAGGCGAAGGCCGTAAATGCTTCATCAAGCACCAAAAGTGGTCGTCGGCGTCAGCATGATGAGGCAAGAAATCAAACGATGACGTCACCACATACACCATCGTGACGTCACATGTCACCAAACTTTATGACGTCCCGTGACATCGTACGATGGCTTCGCCTCTTGCTCACAAGCCGGCCGATTCCGGAGTAACATTAGACTGTACGAAACCGTGCAAGCTGCAGAACGCTTTCAGGTCCGGCGAGATTATTACAGTAGACTGAGAAGAACCAAAAACAGTAAAGACTGATTTTGTTTTTAAGTCATCTTAGGGCGAGTCATTATAGTACCCTGTGAACTTTTTTTTCTTAAAATCTGGCCTCCCAAACTAATACCGAATGATGCCTTTAAAACCACCTTCTGGCCTTCGAGGAGCAAGGAGGGGGCCAATGAGTGGAAAGTGAGAGAAAGAAGGTGTGTTTGACATGTATGGCTGAGTGAACGAACAGGAGTTATGGCCGTGAGCAGTCAAGAAGAGGGGTGGGGTGGGGGGGAGTGCGATGACGGATACGATGAAGTGCTCGACAAGCGCGACTTGTAGTTCACTCTTCATCGTTTTTGTTGTCGTCGAGCGGTGGCGCGCGAATGAACTGCGGCTGCGCTACTCTATCAGTGTCTTGTCACGCTTAAAAGGGGGGGGGGGCGGTGTCGGCAACGGGTCCCCGTGAAATCTTTCTTCCGCCATGACACCGCGCGCAGTTGGCTGTCGTGAGTGACGAACGTGGTTCTTCGTCACTGACGCCGTTGTCTTGTCGTGCGACGCGTGCCACGTCCCCTCTCTCTTCACCGCTTTTCACCCTCTCCACTCCGGCGTGGCATGCGTCTGCCGAGGCCTAATTAACTCGGACATATGAGTCGTTCGAGGCATGAATCTGTGACAGGTAGCTCGTTCACGCCCTTTCGAAGTTATTTTAATGTGAGGCCACCGAGCCCAACAGCTCGTGTCACCCAAGTTGCAATGGTACGAACTTTACAGGAGAGCACGAGAAAGAAAGAAAAAAACAAATATCGCTTGATAATCGACTGAAGTGTAGCGGCACTGGCCTGAACCGCTCTCGGGATAGCATCACGTGCAAACAAACGCCCCTTCGTTGTGGGTATGCATTCCATCGATGAATATACAGCACCCGCCCGGAAAAAGTCTGTGGATTTACCGATATGCACTCCAGTCTTTATTCAAAGACCGGACTGAAAAGGGAGTCAATTATGGCATTTATATAGCGTATCGCTTCACAGGGAGTCAGACGGTATAACCCACTCCGTCGTGGAGTGTACGAGTAACGTCCGGAATGAATCGGGAGTCAAATGTCGCATTAGTTTAGTGTACCACTTCACCGGGAGTCGCCAGAAGTTCTTGCGAGTTTACGTCGAAAGCGGAGAACTATACTTGGGCCTAACAATCGATACCCCCCATCACCACTGCCTTTAAAGAGAGAAAGGAAAGAGTAAAACGGACGCACAATCGTCTGTTTAAAGAGTCCTGCTTCTAGATGGCTTTCCCTTCAGTTATAATACGTCCTTTTCGTCGGACCCACGCCCAGCCTTTGCAGCGCGTGCGACTCGCATCGGCGAACACAGGAACTACAAACAACACGCGTCCCATTACGGACAAACGTCCATTTCTCAACCGCGTGTGTGTACACGCGCTCTTTCCATGCTTTTGCCGCGCTCCGCGGGTGAAATATAATGACCGCTGTCCACGCAGATCCGCCTCTCCCGTTTTGCCATTCTTAAAAAAAAAAAAAAAACCTCGTTTTCCTGGGCCATCATTTCGTAAATGGCATCGCTTGTTGGTTTTCGTGTCTTCAGTTCGCGCTGCGCGCGTCTTATTGCTTTTTTTTTTCGAGAGGAGAACCATTTCGTGTACGGCATCAGCTTCTTTCTATACAAGCCCCCCCCCCCCCCCCTTCCTGCCCTCCCTTCTTCTTATCCTCCATTTCAGTCGTTTTGCTTCGTGCGTCTAAAATAGAAAGCTCTTTTATAATTACGCTGGACAGGAAGTTTAATTTAAACCTTCTTCCTGTGTCAGAGCATGTCCCACGGTACGTTTACAAAGAACAAGTTTGATTGTGATTCGTGTTTGTTCTCGTTGCAAGAAAAAAAAATATGAAATTCCGCGTTTGAACGTGGTTAAACGAAATTCGTGGAGCGATACCTCTGTTTTGCTTGTTGGACTACGCGAAACACGTAGGAAATATGCTGCAGGTGGTGCGCAAGACATCGAGCTATAGTGAGGCACTTGGTTTCTGTGATAGCGTATGGATTCCAGGGAGGTGATCAATACGCGAAAATCGATCGATATACTTCATTGAACTGTTACTGGAATTTTTCGCTCTTTGTGTTACAAAATTGGTTGCGGTAAAGCTCCGGTTCAGGCTGGTTCGTGCATTCTTGAACACTTATAGCATGACTGCGCAAAAAAAAAAAAGAATGCGAAGTATGACACGGAGGAAGAAAGGCATGTGTTTCTGTTCTTTATTTCGTTCGGTCGTTTTTTTTTTTCTTTTAGCGCAGCCCCGCTTTATGTGTAGACTATCTGCCGTGTGAAATTAGCAATCAGATCGTAATGGCTAGATAACACCTAGTGCATATCTTCCCCAACCGGCGAAGCATGAAAATATAGTACGAAACAGAACTCCAGCTAGCGGAAGAGATGCACATGCCTCCAGGATGACATGCGAGGCACAAAATAATAATAAAAAAAAACCATCGCTGATTAACCAGCTGTGGAATGCACCGTGCAATAGGCGGCGGAAGACGTCCCGCGGCGTTTATAGCGTTCGTTCCCATCAGCATTTTTTTTTAATCAGCCTCCCGCTGGGCTTGTTTTGTTGGGCGGCTCGGAAATTCACTCGTGCGCCATGGCCGCCATTTGTCCTCCATCTGTTACGGGTGCGTCAATTACAACCCAAGAAAAATAGTCAGAACCGGCATCACCGTACGTCCCTGGGGAAATTTGCATAAGAGCTCATTTCGATGGCGCTTACCCATCTTTGTGACGTCGTGCATTCCCCCGGTGTTGTAGATGTAAGTTCAGCGTACAGGCGCACGTTTGCGTCCCAGGTTCTTGGTGAGGAACTTGATTGTCCGGGTAACTTTTACGAGGACTCGGACATCGGTTCACGGCTAAAGGTTATACTTTGGGTAATGACGATTGCCCTTCAACTTATTGATACGGGTAGCGATTAAGTTAGTTAAGAAAAAGTGCTCGGGGTTCGAGAGGAAACCAGCTCACGATGGCCCTTAACATGCGAAGGGCCTACGCGTCGTTGCTTTGTGGGTGGGGCCTAAGTTTTTACGTAGGTTGTTGTTAATTCTACTCGTTCCAGGGTCTGCGTGACGTTACTCACGTTTGAATTACGTCAAAAGCAAACAAACGAACCGCGGTGTATGAATGGAGGAAACATACCCCATACATAATAATAATAAAAAAATTATGTCATTTTATTTGAGAGTTCTGGCTCGTAACATGTATGACTCTCATCAAAAAGAAATGTTCACTCTCATTTCAGATCATTATCCTTTCTTTGTAAAGTATGAGAGCCAAAAGAGACTTTACGCGACTTTACATGTGACAAGCTAGTAATCGCTGAAAAAAATCACACATACTCTTTTTAAATTTTTTAAGAGTGTAGAATTATTGCTCGCCGCTTCTTTAGTACCTATATTTATGTAATTCACATGCACTAGCACACATTCGTACTGCCATGGTTAACTGCTTACGGATTTCGGGGAACCGCACGACATTTGACTGACACATATGTCCTCGCTATCGCGAAGCAATTTAATTTTTGGTCGCCTCATTAGGGAAGGCCACCTGCAGGCCGTACTGCATTCACTGAACAGTTTGACTAAAAGAAAAACACAAATTGTGAAACTTGAAGCATATTGGATGTCGCT